TCCATTGTAGACTTCGTTAAGATAGTCTGCTTGCAAGACTTCCAGGAAACAGCGCCACCTTCAAGCGAAAACACATATCCACTTGTGGCATAAAGCTCATCAGCATCAGAAATCCAGTTGGCATCACAGTAGCCTTCTAGTACTTTTGGATGTCCGGTATAACAAATACCATAGCTCATGGTCCCTTTTAGGTAGCGCATCACTCTCTCAAGAGCACGCCGGTGATCATCTCCCGGCTTTGACACAAACCGGCTCAGCTTGCACACAGCAAATGAGATGCTAGGCCTTGTTGCACTAGCAAGATACATGAACGAACCAATGATCTGGAAATATCTCAACTGATCCCTTGCTATTCTCCGATTTTTCCTCAATAGCACACTAGGGTCATAAGGTGTAGGAGCAGATGCACAGTCACTAAACCCAAAGCGACTCAGCACCTTTTCCACGTAGTGAGTTTGTAACAGGGTTACCCCACCATCACCTTCTCTTTGAAGCTTGATATTAAGAATAACATCAGCCTCTCCCAAATCTTTCATCTCAAAATTTTTAGATAGAAATTCCTTCACATCCCCAATCACTTTGAGGCTGGATCCAAAGATCAATATGTCATCAACATATAAGCACAAAATGACTCCTTCACCCCTACCATACCGATAGTACATACATTTGTCAGCTTCATTCACAACAAAGCCAGCAGATGTTAAAGTTCTGTCAAACTTCTCATGCCATTGCTTAGGAGCTTGTTTTAGACCATATAATGACTTTAATAATTTACACACCTTGCCTTCTTGACCATTTGCTACAAACCCATTAGGCTAATCCATATAGATCTTCTCCTCCAACTCTCCATTTAAGAAAGCTGTCTTAACGTCCATTTGATGAACGATAAGACCATAAGAGGCTGCTAGGGAAAGCAAAACTTGAATTGTGGTCAATCGAGCAACCAGTGAATAAGGATCAAAGAAATCATCACCTTCCTTTTGGGTATAACCCTTGGCCACAAGCCTTGCCTTATACCTCTCAATAGTACCATCAGGCCTAAGCTTTTTCTTGAACACCCATTTGCACCCTATAGGCTTGCACCCATAGGGACGATCAATAATTTCCCAAGTTTCATTAGACATAACATAATCCATCTCACTCCGTACTGTTTCCTTCCATAAGTCAGCATCAGGAGAGGAATATGCCTCTTCAATGGTCGTTGGTGTGTCATCCACAAGGTACACAATATAGTCATCACCAAAAGACTTTGCAGTCCTCTGTCTCTTACTTTTTCTAGTGACTATAGTGTCATCCTCCTCAGGATTTTGCACATAGGGTTCCTCAACTTGTTCTATCAGAATAAAGTTTTCATGTTCATGGGGAATTATAAATTCATGACCAGTTGTGCTAGGTGCATTTTTCATGGGAAACTCATTCTCAAAAAATGTAGCATCTCTAGATTCCATGATTGTATCAACAGCCATCTCAGGAACACTAAAGTTTATAATTAAAAATCTATAACCCACGCTGTGAATAGCATAACCAAGAAAGACACCATCAACAGTCTTTGGTCCAAGCTTTCGCTTTTTGTTTATTGGCATATTCACCTTTGTCAAACAACCTCAAGTTCGTAGGTAAGAGAGATTTAATCTCTTCTTCTCCCATTCCTCTAATGGTGTAATTTCTTTGTTCTTTGTGGGCACTCTATTTAGGACATGACATGCTATCAAAATAGCCTCACCCTACTATTCCTTAGATAGTCCCGCAGTCTCCAACATGGCATTAACCAAATCAGTTAGAGTGTGGTTCTTTCTCTCTGCAATCCCATTGGACTGTGGTGAGTATGGTGGTGTCCTCTCATGAATAATTCCATGCACCGCGCAAAACTCAGAAAATTCATTTGAGAAATATTCTCCCCCGCGATCAGACCGCAAACGCTTGATTTTCTTCTCAAGTTGATTTTCTACTTTAGTTTTATAGATTTTAAAATAATGCAACGCTTCATCTTTAGTTTTTAATAAATACACGTAGTAAAATCTAGTGCAATCATCTATAAATGTCATGAAGTATCGTCTACCGCCTTTAGTCAATTCGCCATTCATTTCGCATAAATCAGAATGAACGAGTTCTAACGATGCCAAGTTTCTCGCCTCAGCAGCCTTGTGAAGCTTGCGCGGTTGCTTCGATTGCGCACACACCTGGCACTTAGAATATTTGACTAAGTTAAATTTCGGGATTAAATTCAGATTTGCAAGCCGCGCGGGACAGCCAAAATTAATGTGACAAAGTCATGAATGCCATATATTCGACTCATCTGAAATAATAACATTGTTCATTACTTTATTGCACACATCATCAAGCAAAGATAAGCGGAACAAGCCTCCGCAATCATAACCTTTTCCGACAAATGTTCCATGTCTCGACACAACACATTTATTGGATTCAAGCACAATTTTAAAGCCACCGCGACACATCTGAGAAGCGCTAACAAGATTCTTCTTGATGGAGGGGACATGCTGCACGTTCTTTAATAGCACTGTCTTTCCCGAAATAAACTTCAAAACAACCGTACCAGCACCAAGAACATGCGCATGCGTACCGTTTCCCATCAGCAAGGCTCTACTCCTGCCGGCCTGATAGGAAATAAACAAAGAAACATCAACACACACATGAATATTAGCACCACTGTCCATCCACCACTCAGGTGAAAGACAAACTGAAAGAACAAAGGGTAAAGAATTACCATACCCAGATGTTCCTGCTCCAGTCTCGCTAATGACCACGTTTGTTGATTTCTTTTCTTGCTTATATTTGCGGTCTAGGCACGCACTTGCCCAATGCTCATCACTCCTGGAAACAAAACATCCTCCATATTTTTTGTTGTTTTTCTTCTTAAACTGTGCAGTCTGCTTAGACTTTACATTGTTGTTGTCTTGCATGTTCTTCTTTTTATTACGAGATGCAAATGAGTTTTTATTCTGCACTATATTGGCAGCGGAAGACTCAACTCCTTTTCCACGGTTGTCTTTTGCTCTCGCCCTCTCCTCAACATCAAGAGAACCAATAAGCTCAACCACGCTAAACTCTTGTCTCTTGTGTTTTAGAGAAGTAGCAAAATTCCTCCAAAAAGGTGGCAGCTTAGCGATTATACCGCCGGCCACAAACTTGTCGGGCAATAGACATGGGAAATGTTCTAGTTCCTTCGCTAGCGCCTGTATCTCATGAGCCTGTTCAACCACAGAACGGTTTTCAACCATTTTATAGTCATACAACTGCTCCATGAGGTACATCTCACTGCCAGCATCAGAAACCCCAAACTTTGCCTCAAGAGCATTCCATAACTCTTTGTCTGATGTGCAAGATATGTAGTTTTTCTCATACTTGGGATGAAGTGCACTAATCACGGCGCCTCGAAACAGGTTATCGGCAGCCAAGAACTTTCGCTCCTCCTCAGGAGTAAACTGTTCAGGCTTCCCCTGTGCGGCATGATAGTAATTCATCGCAGTCAACCACAATACCATCTTTGCACGCCATATCATAAAATTCTTACCATCAAAATTATTCGGCTTCAAAGCGGCAGCAAATCCACTGACAGAAAATTGCCTATTATTAGGTTTTTGGATTGTTAGAAATTTAGGTATTTTCATTATCAGTTTAATCCAGAAATATAACATCAGCAGGTTGTGACGGCATATATGTGCATGTGTATATTTCTTATGAACGCTACAACATGCATAGACGACATACAGATCGATACAGTAAAAATACAAAATACAGTAATCACAGAGATTAGACTGTACCCAGCGGAACGGATCACCAGGAAGAAGACGCCTTGACGTTCCAGGGAGGAGACGGATCCGATCTCCAGCAGGAAGAAGATGGACGAGCAGTCGCGGATCGCTCCCGCTCCTCCATGCGCGCAGAGGTACGGGACGGGGAAGTCAGAAGGCTGCTGATTTGTGGTTCTCTCGGGAGTGGTTGTGGAAGTCGGGGTCTGGACTGACGGAAGATCGGATAGGCTGCGACCGGGGAAGGAGGTGAAGGCTGCGGAGAATCCCAGGAGACGAGAAGCGGAAGGGACGGTAACTGACGCAGTCAGTACGCCTCCACAATCAAGGATTGAAACTCCCGTGATAATGTGGATATAAGCTGAGCCAGCGTTCAATCAAAATCTCATATGATATTAAGCCATACAACACTTAATGTTACGTACCATAGAGTTTTAATCGATTTATTAAATATTATATAGGCCAGGCCCATATTATATCCAACACACAGTACCTGTGAATTTGATGATAGCTTGTTGATCGAGCGTCAAGGTAGCACGCACGTTGCCTGGATGAAACGAACTGAATTCGCACGGCACAAGCACGGCCGTACATTTGTTACTGCGTTCTATTTTGTTTTGGAATTAACTGCGTCCTTTTGTTTTGTTTTCGAATCCCTAAACCTGCGTTCTGTTCTTCTCTATCAATCCAAAACCGATGTCCTCCTATTAGCCTACCCTCACGACTCAGGTCTCCTACTTATTTGCCCAGTACAACAGGCCACGGTCCTTTTTCCTTCCTCTATTCGGTCACGGCATGCAGCACACCAGCCGGCCTGGGTGTCCGACAAGGTGTTGAAGGGAGCGAGGGGATAGATTAGCACACGGCGATGACAACAGTAATTTTTTTAGGTGTAGATAGATAGAAGAAGAAATAGAGAAGAGATGACAAGGAAAAGATAGAAACCGCGCGCAGCAACAGGTGAAGGCAAAACATCGTCGGCCAGTAAATGGGACTAGAACCATATTGTACATTATTTGTAATACCGCAGTGAAAGAAGTTCACGATCAAGTAACAGCACGTTATCAAGCTAGACTCCCGCATCTTCATATAACATCACAACGAACAAGATCAGAACTTTAACATAGAGCTGGACGCAGTCGTGCACTGGAGCACGGAGGAACATAGGTCTCCTACTGTCTCGTCTTGGTTCCCCACTCTGGTGGGTATCTCACAGTCGATCAGGGGCCCTCAGGGATCACACGAGCACCCCCTGCCACTACCAGCTGATGCGGCTCTGAAGCTCCGCTCCCACTGGTCCACAGGTGCTGCTGCGGCGTGTGGGGTATGGCGAGGGTGCTTCTCCCTCTTGTCACCCTTGATCTGCTTCAGGGCGTGCTTGAGCGCCGGGAGGAGTGCTTCCAGGCACTCTGCCACAGCATTTGGGTTGCCAGGCATGTTGATGATCTGAAAAACATTACAAACACTCATGATCAGCGATTAGGAGGTCCAAATCCAAGAAATTGTCTGATACTTTCTTTTTCTTGTGAGAGTATTAGTACGTACTAGTGTCGATCCTCTGATTCCAGCTGTGGCCCGGGATAGCATTGCGAATGGTGTAATCTGCGCCAGAAAGAACAGTTCACCAGAGAACGATTAACTATAATGTTTCTTAAGAATTTGAAACATTCAATTGTAATGTATAACTGTTTCAATTTGTATGGCTAACTTTTATCAGCCATTCATTTGTGCAAACATTCAGCTCGTGATCTAAAAAAGCAAACATTCAGCATATGAAATATCTAAACTCTAAAGAAATAAAATGTAACAGACGCCACCATCACCTTCAAACTTTCTTGAAGCATAACAAATGTCAGACCAGGCGCTTCTTTCTGTATCACAGATTTTGTTGCTTCTGGTGTGACATCCCTGGGTGTGAAGCCAGTCCCACCTGCATGATGTGCATCCACAATAAGTAGCTCATGTGAGTAGGAAACAAGCAATGTGCAAAACTATTAACCTGAAGAACAAGATCATGTTACCTAATGTCAGAATGAGGTTAACATGGTCAATATCACTCCATTGTATCAGAATGCCCTTGATCTTGTCCACTTCATCAGGAACAACTGCAGTGGCAACCACAGTTGCACCACCCAGTTTCTCTGATGAAGAATTCACTACAGATACAGCTCTTGGGCCACTACAAGTACCATGAAAGAGAGAACAGATAAACTGGTATAAGTTGCTTTTAACTTCTAAAAAAGTGTGGTATGCACCATAAGAACTAGAACAAAAGATACATTATTAAACTGCTTTGATCTCTAGAGCAAATAAAAAATATGTGAAATGTGGAGTTGTTACTGGACTCCATCACTATCTTATGTGAAGAAAACCAGTAATCAAACTCTTTCATTTAGCACCATGAAGTGACCCCTTTGCAGCTCAAGGCAAATAGGTGTATCAGGGTGCAAGCACTTTAAAAGTCGAGAATTCAATACACAATTTTGCTCTTGTCAACATACTATAAAAATAAACCAAATGCATACCATGGCTATGGGGCTATGACCTATGCATTTCTATTGCACATTACGAAGGAAAAAGGTGTCCAGCTCAGCTTAGATAAGTACCTCCTATCAGGGCCAGCACCTGATGAAACAGTGTCACTTACAGTCAGAATTGCAACTTTAACTTCAGCATCCTGTGGAGATGCAATCTGAGATACATCTGTGGAAATACTTTTTGCAGAAGGACCACAATGAGGTGGATGCGGATTTGAGGGAGCAGGCAGTTTATCTAAAGGAGAAGTTATTATGTCTGAAATAAGTATGGCTTGGATAGATGTCCCAGCTGCCAATATTTGTCCAGTGGATGGTACTTCCAGCAGAGCATTAGCAGATTTCATACTAAGGAGGCGGCTACTAGCCTGATGGCCAGTGCTCTCAGCAACAAAACTGCCACAAGCGCATAACAAATAAATGTTAACATTACCTGGTGTCAAAATACCAAATATATTGTAGTCAAATATCATTAGTTATAATATAGCTCTTACCCAGGTCGACCAGATCCATCATCAAGCACCCATCTAATTACTGCACGGTGAAACTCTGTACGATGTGAGTCTGCTCTTAAAGGATGTGATAGGCATACATGCACCCTGTGGATATAGACTTATAAGAAATATGCTGAATAGTGTAAGGAGAGAACAAAACTGACAACAATCATAACAATGAGGATTACTACCTTTGCAGATTAGGATTTGACCAGCCAGAGAGGAGACGAATTGCAGGAACAACAAAAAGATTGAAGCAAACCATACAGCTCACTGGATTTCCAGGCAAACCAAATGCAAGAACTGTTTTAGATGGCTTTGGCGTGTCTTGTGTGGTGATCTCAGCAAATGTTAATGGCTTTCCTGGTTTCATCCGGATCTATATGTGATACAAGCAGCGAACGATTAAAATCATTCTGAGAAAAGGACAAGGACCATGATTTTGAGTTCAGAAGGATTATTTTGCCAAAGATAACAGGTCTAATAGGTTATCCAACAGAAGACATGAAAGGAACCGGAACGTAAAATGAATATTTAATCTGTATCCCTGGCTGTTGGTTATGTATTGCCTAATAACTAGCTGGTACAGAATAAATCTTTGAAAGCACCGAACGGTTTCAAAGGTACCTTCTCAAAGTGAATTTTACCCATCTTTGCCAGGCAAGGTTTGACAAGATCTCTGTCGCCCATGGAAACACCACCAGAAGTAATGATTATATCAGCATCAGAACGCAAAGCTGCATCCATATGCTCCTTGAGACTTTCTTCAGTGTCTTCTGCAATACCCAGGTCAACCACTTTGCATTTCTGCTGAACAGCAGCAGCTAGAAGCATGGCTCGGTTGGAATCACGAATCTGCAATTTTAGTTTCAAGAAGGGAGGATCATTCATTTCTGAGAATACCAAACGCAAAGAAGAGTGAAGGATGCAAACATCATGGAAGAACAGAAATAACCTGACCATGACCGAGGGTGGCAGTGGCTGGCTGCACTAGCTCATCCCCTGTGGAGAATACAGCGATGGTTGGTCGAGGGTACACCTGCAATTGCAAATTCAGAATGCTGCATTGCAATTGTTGTTCTTTTGTATAATGAACCACGCTAACTGGAAGTGTAATTCACCTTGACAGTGGTTACACCCACTGTTGCAAGTAGCCCAATTTCTGCAGGACCTATATGCTCGCCAGAGTTAAGCACTATCGAATCCTTCTCTATGTCACATCCCTGCCAGTTATTTGAATTACTAAGTCAGCAAGTGCAACTTACTTTTTAAGCAATGTGCAAAAGCAAGTGAATTCCACAGTAAATTGAACAGTGTCGAATTCTCTGGAGAAAGAACTGTATACACTGCTGATGACTGCAGGAAGGTGGTTGCTTCCAACAACGGAATCCTAGCACACTACAGTCAGAAACTCCAGTAACCGTGCAGTGAGCAGACTTTGCATACCACATTGCGGATGTCCTGCCCCTCGGCGGCCCGCGCCAGAATCCTAACCCTCTTGGCCCCATCCGCTCCGCCGGGGACCTGTTCGATGTCCTCCACTTGCACGACGGCGTCGGCGCCATCGGGAATCGGCCCTGCGCCAGCAACCACAGTTCTATCGCTCAGCCGGCCAGGACACGCAAAGGGACAAGGCGGAGGCGCGGCCTCACCTCCGGTGGTGACGTAGGCGACCGTGCCGGGGGCGACGACCACGCCGAGGGCGTCGTCGCCCGCCCTCGACTCTGTGACCACCGGGTACTCCCCTGGCCCGTCGGCGGCAACGACGGCGTATCCATCCTAAAAGGGGAAAGGGGGCCGACGGTTTTCGTCAGTAGTCCGATGGCGGCGGAACGGAGGGCGAAGAGAGGAGGAGGGGGGCGGATGGGAAGGAAGGAAGGGAAGGCCGTGCGAGCTGACCTTGATGGAGGCGCGGAAGGGAGGGAGCGGGTCGGGCGCGCGGACGTCCTCCGCGAGGACGAGCCCGACCGCGTCGTGCAGCGGCACGGCGCGCGGCGCCGCGTGGCTCGCCGCCGCGGACAGCACCGCCGCCAGCGCCGCCTCCACCTGCAGCATCTCTTTCTCCCTCGTCTCCTTTTTTTTCCCCCCTCTTCCTCCGCTTCAATTTCCCACGGCTCGTCCGCCCCGGCGGCGGCGGGCGAGGGCTCTGTATCTGTCTGTCTGTCTCGGGCTCTCGGCTGACTCGGTGGTGCGCTTTGCGCTGCTCTTTTTAAAATTCAACAATCGAGGGCTCGCCTGCCGCGTGTGGCGTGACGTCTGTCTGACCACTGCGGCGCCGGGAGCCGGGAGCTGGTGGAGGAGGGCCAGGGGCCAGGGCAGGGCGTCAGGCCGCCCGGCCGGCCTCCGACTCCCGGCGTCAAAACCACGTTGGTTTCTGCAAGGCGAAATGGCAATCAGCCTGTTCGGAAGGCCGTATCGTATCGTGGATTATTTACTGTTGGCTAGTTTGGTGTGAGAGAAAAACACTGTTTCCGGCTGAAAATTTACGATCGTTTACGAGCAAGCGAACAGGCTAGCGTCGACTTTCATCCAAACTCAAATTCATCCCTCAAGTATCAAAAGGGCCAGTTTAATCCTTGAATTTATAATTTTGGTTCGATCTTGTCCTCAATCTGATGTCGTCTGCTATAGTAGCTCACTCCGTTAACACACTTTGAGACGACACAACACACTTGCAAATTTTGGCAAGTCTATGTACATATCATGTGCTGTAATTTGTGGAGCATGAGTAAGCATGACATGTATCTCCAAATCTAAAGCCATTGCCTCCTAGAGTGAAGAAAATGTGAGGGCGCCCACCCAAAAATAGAAAGAAAGACCCTTCAAAACCAGTGAAATCAGGCACAAGTCATGAAAAGTCGGTACTATAATTAGATTTCAAAAATCATTTGATTTCAAGAATTACTACATGATTATCCACGGGCCTACAACCACTTACAATGCAAAAGCACTAGTGGTATAGATAATCCTATGCTCTGATCCGTTCTGAATCCAAATTTTATGGATATGGAGAAGTGTTTTTAATATCCATGCGGATACGGATAATCTGAACCCGATTATATGCGGATGCGGTGTAGGATATGGAATTGACGAAATCCGACGAATATAGATTAACCGATAATTGAACGCGCGAAGCTTATAATATGATAATTAGAATATTTTAAGGAGCCCAAGCGACAAGAATACAAGTCAGCCTAGCCCATGACACAAGCATTATTATATTGAAGTCCACAAACAAAGCTCGTCAACTATAGGTTGGAACATTAAAATTACAGAGACAAAAGAATTATCATCTACCAAAGTGGAGGACTAGTACACGGCAAAAGAGTGAAGGCAAAGTTTTGCCAAATTAAGAATATTTATTTTTTACACACTTGTTTTATACTCTTAAATTTAAACTGAGAACTTGTATTAATTTTGTGAGCTCTTAAATTGAAGTGGTGGATTGATGGTGATTATTTCATGTGGTATTGCCGCTTTATGACTTTGGTTAATGAACTGTTTCTCATCATAAAAAAAAACACGTAAGCACATATTATCCGACTTAAAAAAGTCCGCTTCCGCTCCATCACCAGTCCAAATCCGTATCATTTCCGACATCTAAAAAATCTATATTCGCATCCGAATCCATATAATATCTGATCCGCTCCGAATCTGATAAAAAAATGGATTAGGATATGGGGAAGCCATTATCGGCTCCGATCCAATCCGTTTTCATCACTACCATGCATCAGTTTACATATTCTTTTCACAACCTTTGTCGATCACTGTACATATCATCCCATTGTCCAGCTGAATGCAAATACAACCGTGTCAAGCTGTGATTCATGGATGCGAAGTCTTCAATCACCTTTTTTGGTCTCCCAATAGAACTGTGCTGACGGAGTGAGCTTCTGTGTGGAAGACGGCATCAGACAGATGATGAAATCGGACTGAAATTGCAAATTCGAGGACTAAACAGATCATTTTAATAGTTGAAGGACGAATTTGAATTTTGACGAAAGTTTAAGAATGAATATGGCTATTTCGCCTAGCGACGGGCCTCTGAAAGAGGCAACTGCGTTCGGCCACGGCTCACACCCTTCGGCCTTCGCCGGGTAAACGAGCCTTCGCCTCGTGGTGCCTCGTGTGACGAAAGTTCCCGGTGCTCCTACCACCAAAGCCGCCGCCCTCCGGCTCCGCGCCAGCTCGCAACAGCCACCAATCGGCAGAGGCGCCGCGACAGCAACGAGCGAGCCGGATCGTGTGGATGGGATGGGAACAATGATCGGCCTGCGCCGCCTCCCGCGTCTCTTTCCGCGCGAGTTGCTTCTGGTTGGCACACGCGCGGTCTCTATCGGAGATACGCACGGACGGGACGCACGGCGCAGAGGCAGGCAGGTAGGTGTCGTTGCCTTTGAGAAGCAACAAGGGACGCGCCACGTCCGCTGACGAAGAGGTGAGCTATTGTTAATCGCCGAGACGCCAACGGCATCGGATCAGACGGAAGAGTGACTTGAGCTCTTGGCCTCACCATGACCACGTGCACTTGCTTCGTTAGTCGCCAACTCGCCATGCGACAGTGTACACACATGTGCCGTGCTTTGGCTATCTACTGATGTGACTGCCAGTGCCAGGCCTGGTCAAGCGAAAGCGAACAATGGAACTCAAAGGTAGTAGGAGTACAGGCGACCTGCAAACTCTGACCGAAATGCAAATAACATAAATAATGCTAGTAGTATCCTTTTATGCGAGGGCATTAAGCCATTAACAACCTCAAGCCATACAATAGCCAAACTAGTCACAGGCATAGCCCTTGTGACCTCCTGTCCTGGGCTGGATGCAGATCACCTCACAGGTCCCGACTATCCAGTCTAGCCCTCGTTTAGTTGAGGCCAGAATCGGCGCCGCCGTAGCGCCTGTAGCTACAGTAGCTACTGTAGCATTCGTTTGTATTTGATAATAATTGTCCAAACGTTGACTAATTAGACTTAAAACGTTCGTATCGTAAAGTACAACCAAACTGTGCAATTAGTTTTTGATTTCGTCAACATTTAGTACTCCATGCATGTACCGCAAATTTGATGTGACGGGGAATCTTCTTTTTACATAGTGTCAAATTTTGGATTTTGGGTGAACTAAACAGGGCCCTACTTGAATCACTACAGATATTGGACACCATCTCTCTTTCTTGTCAGCAAAAGTTCACATCATGTATAAAAGTTGTAATGCAAACAGGGGGATGGGTTTTTGAATCACTACAGGAGGCAAAATTTTCCGTAGCTCCAAGTCTTTTGGAAATGGAAATACTATAGGATGGACTCAATACAGATGCATCCCCAGCTCGAAATGGCACAAAATTCTCCACTTCCTGTAAGAAAAGAATTTCAGTTAAGCACTCAAGCTCCAGCATATATATAAGAAGAAACACAGGAGTATTTCTGCTATCCACTGAAAGAGGACAAAGAAACAGTAACTCTATCACTGACAATACCTCAGGTGTTATCAGAAATAATTAGCTGTTATTTGTTCTTGCATTGTTGGCATGTTGCTTTAAAGTGAAGAGCCCATATAAAGAAAATAAAAATAACCATGGAACTACCCAACCTAGTTTCAGTCCAAAAACTCATGGGATCTCTAAACTCATCATATCAATGTTGCTTCTATCATGTGCCAGAAAAACTGCAAGCAATCACACTGAAGATTGTCACTATCCCGAACCGTATCCTAAAACCTTACAGTACTAAGATCCTACCAAGTCGAAACGACACCAATCCTACCATGGGCTCGGTTGGAACTGCTTAAAAGCGGATTTTCAGCAGAACGCGATAATCGCGCCAGGCGTGCCGTGGCTGCCGCGATTTTCTTCGCCGCCCCAAGCCACGAACTGTGGGATTTGAACTGAGGTCCTGATTTTCGGTACCGCGGCTAGCGTACCGCACTGTACCCTGGGCATAAGCCGAACCAAACATGGCCCATGTGTTCCACATTTTATAGTATCCCGATCCTATGTGAAGATTCCATACAATACTATACAATTACAATAATTGATATAATGACTTTTAAAATGATTCAATTGTGAGAAATACCATTAAAGTTAAGGGGCTTTGAAAATAATGCCATGTGTTGCACTTAAATGTACAAAAAAAATCAAATAAATTAATCAAAATCAATATTATAAACTTAAATCTTTACAGCATATTACAAATCTTATATAAACTATATAGTTTGTAAAATCTGATAAGATACTGATACTACGATCTAATCCTACTATCCAATTCTATCAAGCAAAAAAAAAATCTTGCCTAGGATCCCAATCCAAACAACCTTGGTCACATTTATACCATCCATAGATTTGTCCAAACTGTAACTTCAGGCCTCAACAAATCTGACCAAAGTGGTACTAAGCAATTACACTACCAAAAGTACAGCCCTGACAGCATATTGATCTAATGTGTGGAGAGAGAGAGTTTATAAGTATGACCAAAAGTACAGCGCTGACAGCATACCCCAAATTTTCAGTAAGATGGCATGTTCACATTGTGTTCAGACAAGAGTGGAACTGTTGAAACACAACTATCCACTGCCTGACAAAACTAACCAAAATATGTAAACCTAAACATAGTTTCCCTCAGATATTACATATCAGTGTTAGTTGATCTCCACCAATAGGCCCACTTGCCTCTGCTCCCTGATCGGGGGAGCCCAACCCTAATTGGTTGGTGGGCCCCTGTCGCACAGCACATACAAATAGAGAAGGTGGGGATCGGGGCTCGAACTACGAGGTTCGCCGTGAGCCGCCACTCCCACCTACAGTAACCCTAAACCGATCTAAAGACCGTGCTGCCAGCGATGGGATGTGCCCCCCCACCACCACCGTCGCGCTGCAGTTCTCTTGGCGCCATGGACTCTCTCCACCGCACCGTTGGGCGACTCCTACTACATCATGCATGCGGCGTCTACGTTGCTGTGCCGCAAAGAGAAACGTCAAGGAGGCTAACCGGATCTACGGTTATACACAGAGGTACACACATCGATCCTAACAATGGTATCAAAGCCGGTTGCCTCTGTGTAAT